GTTACTTATAAATTTTGCTATTTAAACTGTTAAAAAGAAAAAAATATATATATATGTATATATAAATAAATAAAACACAAAGCATGCTCTCTAAAATTGACAGTACATTTTATTACTTTAAAAAAATATATTTCTGGTTCTTATTGAGCACACTCTTAATAAAATTTGTCAAAATATATTTGGTAAGTATAGCTATCATATTGCGAGTTGAAGTTTTAGATACTTTACGTTAGTAGAGTTTTTTTCTTTGAGGGTATTGTTAGTTAGCATATACGCAGTTCAAATTCTCGAATCAACGGATCTTTAATTTTGACTCTATTATTTGTATAACTTTAGCTAACGATAGCAATTATCTATCACGTCTGAATCTGTCTCATTGTGGCTTTAATTATTTCCTTAAGACGGGAAGATACAATTAACACGGATATAAATTACAGGAGACAAAAAGGGTCAAAGGGATGGCGAACTTTGGGTGGGCACTATTTACAATGTTATACATAACTGTAATAAATGAAACAAATTTCTATACTACTGTATAAGTTAATTGATGATTTTAATTTCAAAAATACACTGGTTACTTTCTCTTTCATTGGTGCTTCTAGATTTACGTAGAATATATCTTCAAACTTCGTTATCGTTTTGGATAAAGACAGTCTCTTAGGAAACATACCCTAATTCATGGATTATAGAGCTTAAGTGATTTTGGAAAAACAGAAGATAAAGAAAACCAGATAGTTATATAAAAATATAGTTTGCTGTTATTTGAAAATTAAACGCACACATATTTCTCCATAGTTTGCAGTTTTTAACTTATTAAAAATAAAAACAATGCCCAAACTTTTATATTAGCGACTTTTACATTAAAGCGACTTAGAAAATCTTGTTTCGTTACTGCATTTTTGTAAAAATAATAATAGTGATTAAAATAAACTAATATGCTTAAAGATCTGGGTCACACCGTTTTAGTACAAATATTCAAAGAAATTCAATCATAAATATGTTCATGCACTGAGTTCATGCATATTATATACCATTTAGTAAATATTTAGAAACGTTTCGTATGTAAATTCATAGAGTTCGTGCGTGGTTGTAGATTCCGAAAAAACGCCTACGGAAATAGCAAGTTAACCTGTGACCTACTTCTTCGTTTATAGGATCGATATTTCAAGTCAATAACTAAACAATATAAGGTAGTTTAGTTCCATAATCATTCTTAGTCGATTTGGCAGAGCCGCTGTTAAAACGGTGCTATTCGTAAAATGGAATGGGTGCCCAACTATATTTCAGTTTTCGGTTTGTGGTACTAAATTTGCCTATGTACTCACCTACACAATACCACTACCTTCATAAAGGCGACAGCGTCGGCATGTACTAAAGTTTAAAAGTTTGCACGAGAGGTGCATGTAGTATGTAGGTAGATTAATCGGTTAGAGCAACAGCACGCAACGCTGACGACACCGGTTCAAGTCCTGCCCGAGTCGAATTTTTTTTCAATTTATTTTCGATTTTTAATCTATGTCCTAAAATGTCTAAAATTTAGACAAGCCCGTCCGTCAATATACGTTATTAGACGATAATAAAAACCTCTTATGAAAACATCAGGCCGTAATTAAAAATAATTTGTATACAAGTTTAAGTATACTTCGCGTTTTAAACCGTTTAAGTGTTTTATTTTAATTGCAACTCTTATACGTCTCTGCTATTTTAATTAATACACTTGTTCAATACCTACACCTTCAATAACGAAAACAACGGAATAAATCAAACAGCATTGTACAAATTAATTGTCAGCTCATATTTGTCGAGCGAGCGGCAAACATACATTTTAATTAAGCCCTCCTCTCGAAACTGCAATATTACGTACATTATTTGTTATGTATGGAACAATACAATTATTATTACGCCCACAAAAACCTTCGACCCAGTTACAGCCATGATGCCAAGTAATACATTATTCACTCAAGTGCCCCTTTTTTCAGTATTATGTAAAAATCACTTCAATCGATTACCGAATTGCGCGAAATACAAATTTATTTATACTAGTGACGAATATAGATTTTCGCGGGCAATAACAAAGCTTCAAGTAGCTTCGAATAGTCCGTACTTCTTTTTTTATCTGATAGAGAAGAACAGATAAGCATACGATGCACTTGATGGAAGGTGAAATACCCGAGCCATATAACATCTAAACACGATGCGCCGTCGACCTATATTGGCTTTGGATATTCGGATATCCACAGGCTGAGACCGAAACGTGATTAAACTGTATGACTTTTGCATCTATCGACGGTATTTCGTGACCCATTATCTATAATATCCAGACGAAGTCCAACACGTTTAGAAAAATTATAACTTGATTAGATTATATTTGACCCAGTGGGGATCGAACCTGCGACCCACTGGTTACTAGCATTACATTGCCAACCTTAGACCAATGAACCCGACAAAAGTGTTCTTACCGTGACCATACGAACTTAACATTAGAAGCGGAGAAAGTTGCCAAACGTTTCCGATGAGGTATCTCAAAGACATAGAATTGATACATTATTTATTTATATCTCCCTTACGTCGCCTCTTTAACTTCAAAGAGAGCAAAAGACAACACATATTTAAAATAAAGAACTATAGATTAAGATGAACGATTTCATTATCATTTGCAATCTCTTAAGGGAACACGAAATACAATTCAAAGTACCAAATAAATAGCTTTAAATTTTCGAGTTACATAATAGAATATATTATAAGTTACTAGACATATGTTAAATTAATAGAAATATTCTAGGTATTGTATTATTCAAATGGGTATTTGTAATCATTGTTCATCGTAAAATAGGAGTAATTGTAAAATACCATGAGGAGATGAGAAAGACCAAGGAATTCTTAGGCCCTTGGTAATCTATATAATAAATCTCCTGTTACTTAAATATGCAATAAGGGTGTTCAAACGACACCCGACAAGTAACAGCGTATTATTCTTCACATAATATTATGACGGTAATTCATTATCATTTATGAGGTAAGTACATATTATTTTTAAGAACCTTAGGAGCATTTAGTAACTTTCGTCACATCACATACCTTTACATAGTACACTATATCCTTAAGCACATTACTGATAAGTACTACTTTGTACATGATAATGTACAAAGTTTAAGAGCGTTGACACCCTAAACGCGCAATTTGGCTTAAAACTGGGTTTTTCAAACCTGTTAATATCATCAACCACTTATCGTACAAACATGTTGATTACTTATATGGTTAGGAAATTTCACTGTTTAAAACCTTAGTAAAAAAATCACGATTTACACTTGAAAACTTTAATATTTTGCACATGAAGGCACTATATTGGTAGGTAGTATCAAACAAAATAATATTAAATGTAAGCTAAAGGATCATTTCCTTAAGTCATTTTAGCGTTATTGTTTTCCTCTCTTATTGCATGCTTAGGCAAGATGGTAGATTGCTAGCTATCTTGTATATTTATTAAATAAACTTAGCTAATTAGAAGTTATGTAAACTCACGATGGCATCAGTTTAAACCTTAGTGGTTTTTTATTGCTATCAATATATAAATAAATGTATTTGTTATAATGATATGATAAATAATAAAAAAATATATATAATTTAAAAATCGAAAATAATAATTTCTTAAGCTACAAACCATAAGACGTTGAACCTTAATACACAAGTGTTAAGGTTGAAATTACATTGCGCGAGAGATGCATGTATCAAGTTGAAAAAATTCGATGATGAGGTGTAGGACTCCGTAGCTCAATTGGTAGAGTAACAGCACGGAACACTGACGATGCCGGTTCAAGCCCTGCCCAAGGTGAAATTTTTTTAAATTTATTTTCGATTTGTAAACGCTTTACACTTTTTTAATGCCTTAAATCGTAATATCTTAACACAGGTTTTCATAAATCTCGTTTTAGTATAATTTTCGAGGCTTCAAATCTATTAAACTACTTAAAGATGTAATTAGAAAAAACTTGTAAACAATCGATAAGATCCTTAACCAAATACTTAGTAGAAAACATTATTGAATTTCGATATAGAACAATAAAAATAAATACATTCTAGCAACGTGAAATATGAAGGAATTGCAACGTCTTATTTGCCTATTTATCTTGTGTAATTTAAATAACATTTTAATATTAATATTAACAACACAATTAATATTAATATTAAAATAGTTCTATGCATATGAAGAATATGTCTTCGGTAACATTATAATTTCATCAATTATTATTATTTGTATAACTCGAATCCTCCCTTGAACAGAGTGACATCTATATAACTACACATGATTCTGCCCGGTTGAAACGAAGTTGGGACTAAGTGAAATGTCGGTTCGCGCGTTTGCAGTTCTGATTATAAAAATAGATGGCGCTATATTACAATATTTCTTTAAGTGAGTTACTTAAAGACGTTAACGTGGTTTTTAATTTAGGGATTTAAAGTATGCTAACAGCTCATTCAAAATCAATCCAGGAAGTATTTTTTTTATATTATATGTTATGGTATCAACAACCAAAAGAATGACAACCAAATCTCTAAATTGTTTACAATTTTGAAAATTTGTCGCAATTCTACTTAATTCTTATATGTGAGACTTCTAAGTTTGAGTTCCAGGGAAAAAGTAATAGTTTCAACAGCTACTTGTCAGCATATGAATATATATACCTAAAGATTACTTTTAAAACGATGACCCAATATTACCTGCATAAAACTTCATTGTTAAGTACACGGATGTTGGCGTCTCAAGGCCGTTATATGAATGCGCAGTAGGCTATTTTTGGATCTAGTTGGAGGTAAGGGGTGATGGAGACGCGGGAGGGGAGGGATATCGCCTGCTGATTGGTCGCCAGTTCAATCGAAACGTGGATGTTGTACGGTTAACTATCTGTCTAAGTTTTATCGTGAATCTGTGTTATATAATAATTTAAATGACATCAAAAACACCACGACGATATGGAACGCTACGAAGTCAGGCACGAACAATGGTTAATATGGTCTATAAATATATGCAAAAAGAGGCGACAGATGGAGTTAATAACGTAAATCAGGTATATATCGCTAGTACCTCCTTGCTTATTTAATTTTTGTTTCCTACACTTTTCAAATGTTCAGCTTAAGGAGATAGAAACAACGTCGGTTTGAACAGTTTTTCATGATTCATATTTTAATTTCACTGAAACGATAAAGAACTGTATAGTATCTTTACTTATATTAAATAGCTGAAAAGTTTTTTTGTTTGAACGCGCTAAACTCAGGAAGTACTGGTTCCAATTGATAAATTCTACTACTAGTTAGGGAATAGAAGTAGAAGAAACAGTGGGAAATGTGGAATAAACGGGGAAAATCATACATCTTTGAGAGCTTCTATTGCATTTGGTGTGAATAATTTTACCTCTTTAAGTGATCTAAAAAAAATGTCCGCGACACTATAGGATGTCTATCTTTTGAGATTTACATGCAATAAACGACGGGAAGCGATGAAGAGGTTTGTAAAATAAAATTGTGATGCCCAAAATACCTAACTATTCTACGCGGACCAAGTCGTACGACATCGCGTAACAAGTCTGCTATCTGTCGCTTCAGAAAAAAACTATTATGATATTGTGTTAAGATATCTATGAGGGAACCCTTTTATTAGTGATCGTTTGGGATAGTAATATTAATGTGCTCTTTTTTGTTGATGCTTTGTGATAGTGACACTTTACTGTTAGGAACACCGAAGACTTCGCTCAACTTTGCTTTATATACATTTGAATTCAATGCTGAAAGAAACGTCAAAAACCAAATGGGTCGGTTAGGTTAGAACATTTATATAGTCGAGCTCAAATTTCCAATATTCAAACATGTAATGTTTTTTTAATTTGATTAAGTACAATTTATAGTGTTGAGGAGAAGACGACTTGACTTAGGTCGTCACAGTCAATCAACTGTGCAAAGAGCTATCTCCCGCGCTAACTGCACTAATGACTAGAGACAGACAGATAGAGAAAATAGCCGTATTTCTATCTCAGAATAGCATTCTTTAGTGAGCGATAATGCAGTACCTAGATAGGCTTAGACTATAGGTCTTTAATTTATCGATGAGGTAGTACAAAGTCCGCCAGATCAACTAGGTTCTTTTAACAATTGAAACCTCATTTGGTTGCACCAATTTAATATATGTAAACCTATCATTATTAACATATCTAGCGTTAAAATGTTTATCATTTAAATTCACAGGTACACAAAAGGACAGCAGAAGCAACAGGTGCATCTACCCGCACTGTTCAAAGGATCTTAAAAGAGGCTAAATCCTCTGAACCTTTGTTGGTCATTCGAACTCCGGGAAAGAAAAGGCCGAGAAAGAAACCCGTTACAGATATTCACACGTTTGATTATTGTATAATCAGAAAATGCATTCACAATTTTCACAATACAAATGGACAACTGCCAACGACGAAAGAGCTTCTGATCAAACTACGCAACGACATCAACTTTCAAGGATCCGGGAAAAGTCTAAGTCGTATTATCAAAAATCTCAGTTTCCGATGGAAGACCATCCAAAATAGACGGAAAATATTAATTGAAAAAACAGACATTCGATTTAAACGTATCAATTATTTAGATAAAATAAAAGACTATCGCAGTAAGAGACGACCGATTATTTACATACATGTTACACAGTTCAGCTCCAAATCCTGGTCAAGCAAAGTCAAAAAGCCCACAATTAAGGAAAAATGTGTCACTATAATACATGCAGGATCTGAAGCTGGCTTCATACCGAACGCGTTGTTGATGATCGCATACGAGCCTAAAGGAGGCGATTGCAATGACGATATACATTTCAATAATTACAAAACGTGGCTTCGTACGCAACTGTTACCCTTTATACCTCCTAAGTCAGTTGTAGTACTCGATAGCTCTTCTTATAATACTAAGCAATATGATACTGCGCCGACTCCTTATTCCAAAAAAGCAGAAATGCATTCTTGGCTCACTGAAAAAGGAATTCCCTATGATCAACATATGCTCAAACCACAACTTTACCAATTAATAAGTCTGTTTCAGGATAAATGTAAAAATTTTGAGATTGACAAATTCTTCACTGCAGTTGGTCACAACATTCTGAGATTACCACGTTTTCACCCGGACTTAAGTCCAATGGAATTAGCTTGGGCTGAAGTAAAAGGGTGTGTTAGCGCAAGTAACTTCGAATGGAACGAAAATAGTGTAATGAAGTTTTTTCAAGAGAAAGTAGATAAAATGGATGCAAACACATGGAGAAAAATCTGCGATAAGGTAAAAAGTGCAGAGGAGATATATGTCAAAAACGATCGCACTATAGATTTAATGACTGAAGAATATATCGTAGGTATAAATGATAATTCTGATAGTGGCTCAGCAACAGAATATTCATCATCTTCATCCGATGAAGAGGATCCCCTCGCTATGGATGATGAACAGTCCGGTGAATTAAGGCAGGAGGTTAAGACAGAAGACACTTCTGATAGTGATTGAAATAGAATAAAACTTCACAAGCTTTTTTCTTTGTAGTATTAGATATAAACATTTCTTTTTATCAATTTACCTTGTAAAATGATGTATAAGATACAATAGAAATACATAATAACTTTTTTTTATTGTTGATTAAACGTCAATAAAAGCCATATTATACGTTTAATCGCAGTAAAAAATATGTCTCTTTAATAAATATAAACCAAAACACAAGGACTGTTTTAAACTCTTTGTTAAACGCCAAACCATACAAACATAACATGTTTGTGAATAGCGACATCTAGATAATGCGTCAAAAACCATTATACTCACTGCGTGGTTTTTAAACGATTCTAAGGCGTTTCAGTAATCCGTATTAGTAATATATTATCAGTCCTTGGGATTTATTTTTATTACAGTATCATAGTAGTTAAGATTCGTTGGGATATAAATACCAGTGTAGTCTTACATCCTCTAAATTAGTACACTATATATACTAAAGATGCCTCTAACAACAAAAAGTGTATTACTGTCTACAAATGCTTTGTTATAGCTTTTTTAAATTCATTTGTACATACTGCATTCGTTTTTCTTATGAAGAATGTTCTACGTGAAAATTGTAAAAGAGTAAAATATAGTTTATTGAACAGTCAATTCTAAATTTTAAGAATGAGATAATTACATCAATGATGTAAAGAAAATACCTTTAATTTTTAAGACTTTATTACGTCATTCATTTCAAACTACACCTTCAAAACTGTATTGATTATAACTACGATAAGCTATAACATTACCTAACATTTGACCGAAATCTAACGTTTTATGAAAAAATTTTGACACGTTTTAAGACTTTCCAAGAGATTTCCATACTAAGTAATAATTCATTCCATTATATACTTACTACGTTAAATATTAAACAGATACAAGTGAGGAATATACAATAAAAATTAATTTAAATTCACTTTGACTAAAACCTTGACTTTTACTATCCCTTGCGTGTGTTGAAAAATATTTATTTGTCGACAGCCAAATGGTTGCGTAGTATGCAACTTTTAGCTGTCTGCAATCTATTTACTCAAATGAACTGATATTATTTTCTTGAGGATATATAAAAAACCCAAAATAAATAAATTGGCATATTCTACTTAAAGTAATTAATATTAAAATTTAATGTAAATCCCTCACTCTTACTTAGTAATATAACCGTTTAATCATTAAATATTAGAATTAGTTGCACGCTTGCCGAGGCTGCTCTGCGGTGGTTTAGTACATATTAAAATGTCTCACATACATAAAATTCGCTCGTTCATAATAAAACTACTGTTACACCTAAACAATACATCATACACATAACAAAAAATATGTTAAAATGTATTCTAAGTCTCAAACAATGCGTTAGTCAAAATCAGGTACAAATTAATCAAAATTATTATAACTAAGGTAACTGAATGGTACAGGAAGATTTTGAGATCACGTTGCATTTCTTACTAAATCATCGTTAGCCCTTTAACATTTCCCACTGTTGGGACGCGGGCCTCCTGTTAATCTAATAAATACCTGAACAGTTAAAACAGATTTTCACATATATTAAATCCAGTTTTTTGGCGATCACAAACATATCGAACTAAATCACAGAATAGTAAACGATTTATAACCTTAAATGCGATTACAAATTATTTGAATTGGACCATTTTACCCAAAAGAAAACCTCATAATATAAGGTCCACGATATATATTATGTATTTCTACTTATATCTAATGTAACAAAAAATATAAATAAGTCAAGGTGAGTGTTACATAACATGTGCTTTCTTTATATGATCTTAACGCATACATTATGTGTACAGCTAACTACTTAAAACCACTAGACTGTTAGTTAGCTCGAATTGGTGGCAAAACTTCAACCTCAACGTAATCAAAACTATGTATAACATTATCGTCTATTCCGTATGTCTATTGTGAATGAAAAAACTAGTTAGAGTCTACGGTGCAAAAATTAATATCTCTATATTTAACATTACTGTTTCGTACAAAATATAAATAGTGGTGGCGTGTTCGTGCACTAGACCAGAGTACCAGTTTGTACCTAGCTAAAATCGATACAAATTCGTGACCGCTTTGAGAACGATGACTCACTCCACCACTATTGTTACACTATTGAAGTCAACGTACGGTCTATTTTTTCATATCGTATAAATCGGTTGCTCTAAACATTTTGTGCATAAGTACGCTTATAAGTAAACAAGCTTTAGGCCTTCGTTATTTACAAGAACAAATGAAATCTAAAATCATTATCGAGAACTTATCATTAAATTAGATTACGTAGTGACAGCGTCCAAGTAATTACAACCACAAAATACGTTATTTTAAAATACTGAGTGTTATCAAATAAATTACTCGATTAAATACATTAAATAATTAAGAATACAGAACGCAGAGGGACTAGCATAATAAAAGTGTGGTCTGCGATACAAAAGTCCCTTATGATAGCTCTAATTCTAACTCTTTGGTATTATTCACTGAGCACTAAACATATAGATCGGTACATATATTGCTAATGTATCAAAAAATCTATAAGAAACTTAGCTCCATTATTATGTACATCTGCCTGAACGAAGCAAACTAAACTCGTAAGATGACATACATAGTTTCAGGGTTTCCAGGCCTGAAAACTTAAATGCTTGACCGGTCAATGCCAAGATTTTGGGAGTGCTCCTGTGGATTAGACCCACGGCCCCCTCGCGTTCTCAAAGCATGACCGCCGGCAATGGAGTGGATAAGGCCATATGCTCTGCCCCTCTGACGGGTAGCCTCTGAGCTGTGACGTAGTGTCTCATCAGGGCTGGCACTGTTGGAAACGCGGTGGACGCTCCTCCCAATGTGTATCCTTCGCCGCCACGGCAAATACGCATGTGCATGAAGCCACGGGTTGATCTGGATTAAATTATAATATATATAAATAATGGTAGCAACGTATTGGTAATAATCAACGGGCCGTGGGTTTGATTCCCACCGAGTCCAAAATTTATAATTGTTCTGAAACATGTTGGACTTCGTCTGAAAATCTGGATAATAAATGGGTGGTGAAGTTTAATTACGTTTCGGTTTCAGTCAGTGGATTTCCAAATATCCAAAGCCAAATCAGGTAGACAGCGCATCTTGTTTAAATGTTATAGTCTATTGGGGGGGGGGGGGGGGGTTATTTCACCTACCATCAAGTGAACCTCAAGTCTGTCCTCTAACATTAAAAAAAATATGAAAACCTTAAGATTTTTAATAGTAAATGTTTAGAGAAATCGTCAAACAATATAAAATGAAAGTAAGATTCTATTGGACATTATAGCGTTGAAGGTGACATACATTTATACTGCATGAAATATAGTACTCACTTTAAACTTAGCGAATAATCGTGTTTGGCAGATTCACTATTCCTAACTAAGAAAGCGCCTTCTTCTGCATCTCTAAGTAAACTCTCGGCTTCAACGCGCGACAACGTTCCATGATACCACCTGTAACCGTAAATTTTGAAATAAATAATAGTCACAATATTGTTGACAATATAAATATATATATATATTCAAGTATGTCACATGGTATATATTAAAACTAACATCGTATATATTTGATAACATACCCTTGTCGGTCAAGTGGAAGTGATGCGTCAACCAAATCGCGGGGTGGAGCAATCGGTCCCAAATTCAAATGTAGTCCCTTCGAACCACTGCTTCCGCTATTAAAATTCAACGTCAGCTTTTCACGATGTTTGTCTGAAATGACATTAATCCAGATTACATTATTGAATCTTCTCCAAACCAAAAACAAGAGAGAAAATGTCTAACTGAAGATACATAAAAGCAATGTACGTCACTGCTTATTAGGTGTCAAACAACAGTCCATCAGAAACTCCTAACTTGACTGTACGTTTACAAATTGCCTGCAACGTAAAGGAAAAAGCTCCCTCGAAGGCACTCAAGTGAATTAAATATCGGGAGGGCGTCCAACTAGAAAATTTTGTGTGGTTCAATCTGGAGTCATATATCTTAATCGGTGTATTATTCGGAGTCACGTCAAATTAGGTGAACCTTTAATATAACACGACAGACCCTTTTTCACCAAACTAAACTTGCATGTATCAATAATTTATTTTTTAGCTTACCTTGGTTTAAATCCTGCACGCTTTGACTCGATGAAGCATTGGATATGGCTTCACCAAAATCACTATTAAGTTGCAGGGACTGCCCGCGTAACTTTCGGCGCAACTTTGGCATATCAAATGGCAAGGTACGAAGATCAACTTCGGCTTCAGCCCGTCGTCTACGTAGTTTCGGCATATCAAATGGCAGATCTGATAGGTCCACATCTTGGTCCTTACGAGCTTCTTCGGAATTACTGTTCTTAAAGTTTATAAACGCGTTACGCGAATCAACACCCTCTCGAGAGTGGATTGAGATACCACTATCTGAACCTTGTATTTCAGTATCGCCCGGTGTGGAATGTCTAAATGTAAGGTTTAATAAATTCCTATTCTGTAGCGCCCTCCGTTTGGGCTTGGCGACTATTTCCACAGTAGTTTGTACCGTAGTGTTTCCTGTTTCGACGTCTTCGGGAGAAACTTTTTGTGAATTGTTGTTTTTGTTATTATCGGATGTCTCTGATGCTGGTTCTTGAGACGACTTATCAGATATAGGGCTTAAAATGTGCAGTTTAGCCGAATGATGCCCAAACCCCGTCAATTGCATGTGGTGTGATTTAGCAAATGGAACGTTGCCAGAATCCGAACTGTGTGAACTGAGAGATGAAGAGTGTCGACCTTCAGAACTGCTGCTACTCCTGTCACCTTCGCTGTTACTGCTTCTCAGTGATTCCATGCTACCACCGCTGCTACTTGTAGCCATACTCTCAGTGCTCGAATATTTCCGACGAGGGCGTGATATCGCTGGCCTGCCTTTAAACTCCATTATAGGGCCGACCCCCTTTGGCCCTGAATATCGATTCAACACTGGCGTGTCTGAATCGGAAGTGGGTCGACCCTTAATCTCTAAAAAAATACCGTCTTTTGACTGTCCTCGTTCATCATCACCGTCGCGAGACTCGCGAGATGAGTCTCTCAATCTTTGACCTAGATCTAAGTCAGTCGACACAGATGCTTTAACATCTGTCATGCTAGCGTCGCTACTAGTGGGAGTGTCACGAGCCCTTAACGATTTCACAGGTAACCTCAAATCTTTTAAACGGGGATGCGCTGGCTGCGACTGAGGCAAATTAGGAGCACTCTTTATACTATTCATTGCAGATCCATCTTTCTGTTGAAATTTTGTTGGTAACGGCGCAGTTGATGGTGGTGATGGTGTATATCCGCGCAAAGGAAGTTGCGATGTCGATGCGGTGCGCTCTTCGTCGTCTATATGGACTTTCTCTAAATCTTCGGATAATACAGTAACATTACTTTCGTTTTCTCTCTTCTGACGGATCGTCGGTATCTTAGATCTTCGAACACTGTCTGTTTTCATAGTCACTTTGCGGCGACCTTTGTAATCTGGTTCACTGCGTTCGACAGCTTCAAATGCGGATGCAGCAGATGAAATGACTTTTCGCTCCTCGGCCTGTAAAAGTGCCGGATGGTTGCTGACTCTGTCGAAATCGTCCAGGTCATCATCGGATCGTGCAATCTTGCAGTCGAAGGCTGTCTCATAAATCTGTCGAGTGGTCATCTCTTGAGGCCAGCGCGGCAAAGGTGCTGGCACATAAAATACGCTACGTGACGGACGGTGCTCGTCTACATCGTCGGGCGCGGCGCACGCGCAGCCGGCCGCGTCGCGCCCACGACGCCTCGGCGGCATCCACGCGCTCTCGCCAGACGAAGATGACGATCGCTCTAGCTCGCGAAAGCCATCTTCAGCCACTGAGAAGCGTTTTGGCAGATTCGGTCTTTGAGCAACGTGGGGAGCGTCAAGGCTCGCTGATTTCCTGTATCGCGGACCTCTTGAGGACGACGTGGATGAGGTTGCTGCAACTGGGACAGATGGCTGTGGGGTGGTTTTGAATAAATCTCCGTAATAGTATGGGCTTGGATTTCTGCGAGGAGCGTTGGCGTATCGAGGATCCGAGCGTCCACTGTCGGGCGAATGTAAGGACGGTGCAGTTGCAAATGGATCGAATTCGCCAAACTCGTCCTCTTCCTCTTCAGTCGATGACGAGCGGTCGTCCGTTGATGATTCTAAAACAAACAAACAAATTTTAACTTCTCTATTAAAAGACACATGAAAAAAATGCGGTGAGTAAATTTTATAAAGTTAAAGGTTTCGCGTATAAAACCCGAGTAATGATGTCGAAAGTCAAAACCTACTTGTCTGCGTCTACGAAACGTCTCAAGTGGTACATTAGAAATAAACGACAATACCTATGAGGGCTGAGAAAAGCGCATTGTAAAATCATTTTCATATTTGTCTAACTTCTTATAAACCCGTAGAATGTATATACATCTATACATACGTTGTTAAGCACCCCTGGCAGTCACATGTACTAATGGCTAATGTTATTTCAAAAGCAAGATTTACCCTAATGAGAATCCCTAGCTTGAAGCAACAAAGGCTTCCGCATGGATACAGCCTTTAGCGACAAGTTCATGTACCTTACATGCAAATAAATACTTGACTTGTAAAGCCTTTTTATGAAGATTGATCTAAATATTTTATGTAGTTTACGCGAGTAGTACACATTTAAATAAAACACTTTAACGGTTTAAAGATGAAGACGTCTCCCCGTGTCCACAGCTGCCTGCTGCAAAGCATGCGAAACGTTGGGCTGTAGTTAAAATAATTTCCAAATAAGTTTAACTAATACATATCGCGTTTTAAACAGTTTATGTTTTAGCCATCAATTTCTACCATGCCATTCCTTAAATAATGCTCAGTTAGCCAAACGTCGATTTCTAATAGGCAAACGGCTCCACAAAATTGTCTATTAGTAACAGGGGTGTGTAATGACGTCATTAGGTGACGTAATTACCTTTCCGCGTGACTGGACATATGCCCCACGAGCACGAATTTGTTAAATTGCCACGATTTACATGTTTAATGTCTTTCCGAAGTGCGCTTTGCGTTAAACGGAGTAGATAAGAACGATTTCAAAATGTTCATACGAGTTTTCGAGAGCTTTGTCATACCAACTCAGAATAGTTTCAACATGACTTCATGCGTTGTAGGCCGGAAATCCGAGCAACGTTCATTCAAATAGCCTTTAAAGGAACTGCAATCGTTGGATATGTGTCAGCGAGACTGTACCGAGTATTTATCGTTATGTTATGCTAATCTAGATTCGAATTGATGAATCCGCAAACAGCCTTACAAGTAAACAAGTAGTTATGTTTATAAATTTAAAAATGGAACGCTGCATTTTTATTTTATCTATACTAAAATTATAACGCTGGAAAGTTTATTTGTTTTTTTTTATATCGTTTTCATTTTGTTTATTTGATATTTAACGTATGAAGGCTTTACGTTAAAAAAAACGCTGTCTATCTTTTAAGATTAATGCGCAAAAACGACGAGACCCGAACGACGTGGTGCGTAGTAGCTAGTACCTTTTTATATACGTTTTTTTTATGGAATTTCATCCTAAAACTCCGCCATATTTAATCTTAATGCCGCCATCTTTACTGTTTATAGAAATTGCAATACAAATCGTATGAGAAAGCTTATTACTGTAGTCGACTACAAACACACGCGTATAGGTATCTCGGTACGCACGCAGGAAAAGCAATGCAGTAAAATGTTATAATTTACTGCGAAGTAGTACAATGAAAAGGCTCATTTATTAACGTCCGAGAATTTTTTTCAGTCTAGACGAACGGAAAAGGCCTGATTAAAACTTGCCATTGTTGCTTCACTATTAGTGCAGGTTTTATTAGCTACGCCCGCCTAATTGTGGACGTGCAATCGACTGCTGTCCGAACTTTTATATATATTTCTCGCAACGAGGACAAAATTAACCGACTGGCTTTCTAATCAGTAAGTCAAATAGGTTGCAATTACAAATATAGAAGAAGATATTAAGTCTCATTATTTTATTGGTGGATAAATAATGAGATAATTTCTTGCATATAATATCAGTTCATATGTTACCTGTAGCAACTTTCAGCAAATTGATTACTTACTTGACTTAATTTAATTCGTCGTTCCTTTTTAAATAATACGATAGTGTTTATAGAATATGTTAATTTCATTTAGTACTTTTACGCGAAATGCATATTATGTATAATCTATGTGATATTGTTAATGAAATAAATGTATTTCTCGAGTCAAATAAAATATAAATATTGTCTAAGTATCTTCATAAATACGACAGTCCTTAATAAGTTCACTTGTTCCCGCTTCATAATAAAAATGAGAAACATTTAAGTTTTTTCTTTAGACGGATGGGTCTATAGGCTGGAGCGTTGAGAACAATGCTGTAACGTCTCCACCGCGATTGTAGAGCCGGAAGAATGGATTCTTTGTCCTCATTCCTTAGAGATGAGCTTGGAAGTTGCTCGCGAAATGTTGTTATGTGGAACTGTTGTAAATTAAGAATAACGGTTGCATTTCCTTTACATCTTTGATTGTTGATTGATAAGTTTTATATTCTCGCGTAGCCAAAAAACGCACGTAGTTACATCTCTGACGCAAGTAGAGTTACATTTGCAGCGTTAAAAATCCATTGCTAAAAAATTCCCGAAACAACGTTTACTGATAGGTTATGTTGCCGGGCGTTATTTACGTGTTGTTATACATTTTAGCACGATATTTTTAAATACTGTCTGTAACGTCTCCCCGTGACCACGGCTACTGCAAAGCATCCGAAACGTCGGACCGTAGTTAAAATGATTTCCAAATAACTAACTAATATCGCGTTTAAAAAAGTTAAAGTGTTTTATTTAAACGATATTTTTAACAAGTAACATACGTGGTGAACTTACCCGACTCGTAGTATGGTTGTGATCGATGTCTGGAAGGTCTCTCCTGCCTCAGTGGAGCAGAGGGCGCAGGCTCTGGCGGTGACTCCGCGGAACCCTCTGGCGCGCTCTCCGGACTCCGCCTGGATTCCGGAGCGGATAAATCGAAGTCTGTCCGCCTAGCTGACTCGTAATCCGCCCTTCGTCTCGCCGATTCCGCGTCAAACGCGCGCCTACCCGAATCCGGGTCGTATTCTCTGCCGAAGTACTTCCTCGACTCGTATTCGTAGGATTTCTTCTCGAAATCAAAGTTTTGGCGGCGAGAATCGTAGCGCCATCTGGAGTCTGGAGAACGACGCGGTTCGCGGGAGCGACGCTTGTGCTGTGGTGATCTGCGCGCTGTGTCGCGGGGTGTGCAATAGGCTTCTAAAAATTCAACCTGGAACAATGAGAATGCAACGATTATTACACATAATATTACTATATATATGCTATACTTTAAAAATCGTTTACTTATACTCTTGAGGACTACTGAAATGATAAGCATCTCGTTACTATTGGATATTTTAGCTACCATCGAGTAAAACCTATGCTTATCTCTATGAGCAGAACTGACTAGACAGTATTTGATACTCTATAAAACCAACGAATAATTAATACAACAATTTTTATTATTTGATCTGCTGATCTTTACTAGGCTAGTTAGAGAGCTAGGAGTAGAATTAATTAGAACCTCCATTATACCGATTATGGGATTTATCGCTCTACCTAAAATTTTAGAGCACGCTTCGTTGGCTATTCGAATGAGGGCCGACGCATACCAAGCGACTATTAGTAGTCGAGGAGCCCTTCATCACGAAGGTCGATTATGTGGCAGAGTAAAGTGGTAATAAAATGCAGCGGTCACATATCCGGAGACCGAAACGGTCGGTTAGATGTCGTCTCCCCTCGCTCACGATCATTATTAGGGCCCATTTCTGTTTATGGGGACGAGCATAAAGAATATTATGAGATATTGTCCTAGTTGTGCGATTAGGTGATAACGTAACGGATGAACGTTGGATTCCCTTGTTATTCTAAACTTAATAGCTTACAACTTTTCGTATCACCTGGTGCTTTTATTGTTATGGAACTTTTGGCATTTGAGTTTTATAATATGGCGTATATTTTTTTATTTGGTGTAAGTAAAGTTGGTATCTTTTGGCGAAGGAAAATGGTGATCTAATACCATAATCTAATCTATATTATAACATGATATTTTTACTGAAATACGTGATATGAATGGTTGATACTGATGTATTATTGTAATCTTTTTATATTTATCGATTTGGAAAAATTGTTTGGGATGTTGCGCTTTTTTCAACTGAGCGATGGCGAACTGCTTAAATATGACAGCCGAAGATTTTTACTTTTAATTTGAATATTTTTAATCATAGCTTCTATAACATAATAACTCGACCAACGCAATTTCCACCCTGTTTGACCTTTTTAAATAGACATTCTTAGATTCATAATATGATTTTTATTAAGGATTCTTTTCGTAAGTATTGTTAGATGTTTACGCGAGTTAAGTAAAATAATTTTTATTAGTTTGTAGTCCTGTACCTAGATACTGGCCACCCTCGCAAGCTGTAAAGCATTGGAAAAATCAGGTAGGTACCTAGTTAAAAATAAGTAACAGGTATATTTTTCGTTACAAATTTTTTTATTCTTAATTAAATGTTTTAGAAAACTACTACTTTTCCGTGTAGTTTACAAGAGTAGTACACATTTATATAAAACACTTTAACGGTTTAAAACGCGATATATTGTAGTTAATCTTGTTTGAAAATTATTTTTAACTACGTCCCGACATTTCGGATGCTTTGCTGCAGCTGCTTCCCGTGACCGTGGCTGCTGCAAAATTGCCGCTGCTACGTTTCAAACCTTTAAAGTGTTTTTTTACACTTTTTACGAATACTGTTGGTCGTACATATCAATACTTAACTAAGAGACTTTCTACGAAGATCTTTAAGCTAAGACACGACCTCGAATCGTTTACGTAAAAAGTTGAATGTACTCAACGTGTACGACATAACAATATTATGCAATCTGGTTGCAAACATCGACGACCCACACAAATACCTAACAAGAATCGAACGCTATTATTAATAATCCTAAGGAATTATTTTTTTATTATCCCCGATACTTGCAATTTCAATCAAGATAAGATTATTTTTTACTTTACAAACAATGTAGAACAATAACTTTAAATTGATTTAAAAATTACACAAGTTTATACAAAATGTAGGTAGATAGATATATAGCGAGATTGTACAAGTCATTATTTTGCAATAGAAAAGTAACTTAAACACGCATAGATATAATTTTCGTCATTTAATGCAAAGGTTATACTCGTATAACAAAGAGAAGAAACAAACGGTACGTATACTATATCAAAAACACAATAAAATAGTTATAAGCTATTTACATAATACAATAGTTAAAAAAATATTTTAACTACGTCTCCCCATGACCCCGGCTGCTGCAAATCGTCCGAAACTTCGGGTCGTTGTTAAAATATTTTTCAAATAAGTTTGACTAATGTAAATATCGCGTTTTAAACCGTTAAACTGGTTTATTTAAATGTGTTCTACTCGGGCAGTATAATGACTGTATTTAGTTATAAGCTGGCTTAAATTAATTGGAATATGGTCTCTGACGAAGAAGCATAATTATTTTAAACAAACGAGTACGCCATTAAACACGGGGGAGTCTTGAAAAGGGAAAAAAGGATCGGTAACCGGTTTATACTGCCCGCGGGGCTTTCAAACTTCAATTCGAGAGGCAGCAGACCTCGCCTCATCTGCTGTATTGTTTAACGATTCCTCAGTACGTATATTTACATAATCAAACATAACGCCACCCTCGTTCTGATCTGCGATGTCTAAAGAGATTTTATTCTATTTGCATATTTCGTTTTGATGCTTAATTAGAATCTGTGGAAAAAGCTTTCAACGCCAAATACAAATTAATTGTGGTTCTACAATTTTTATGTACCTAAGTAGTATTTATCTTTATCTGGCAATCTATTATATTAAATACTGTCTATAGTTTACGCGAGTAGTACACATTTAAATAAAACACTTTAACGGTTTAAAACGCGATATATTAGTTAAACTTATTTGAAAATGATTTTTAACTTCGGCCCGACGTTTCGGATGCTTTGCAGCAGCCGTGGTCACGGGGAGACGGAAAAACGTCGGGCCGAAGTTAAAAATCATTTTCAAATAAGTTTAACTAATATATCGCGTTTTAAACCGTTAAAGTGTTTTATTTAAATGTGTACTACTCGCGTAAACTATAGACAGTATTTAATATAATAGATTGTCTAGAAATCTATTATATTTATAAACTGATTATTAAGCACTCTTTCCTATTGTTTTAAACCGTTAAAGTGTTTTATTTATATATACGATATATATTCCCCCAATTAAATGAGGCCCCTCATTTTAAAAAATGTAATATAGAAATGTTTCCAATTGAGACATCTGTGTAAAATAGGCAATTCGATCATCAATATATCTGGTCCCCACTGTTGTATTTACCAATTCAAATCAATGTTAGCGCTGAATCGGAAGGGTACTCTGAAAGCATCTGATTGAATACCGCTCAAACACAATTCGTCAAATTGTAAAGGGGTAATGGTGGACTATTACCAGCTATCCCGTGAAACAACGTTCACTAGTAATTATACACTTCCGGCTTCCGGAACACTGGATATCACAAGTGGTTCCGAGTTATTTAACATGAGAAATTAATTTTCATTAATTCTTTTACATAAACAAGCGGGGTATTCAATTGGTGTCTATACATCTATAACATTTAATTAAGATGCGTTTTTGACATACGAGTGTACCTATTTATATCATGATAACGCATAGTTTTGAAACATGAAGTCTCGAAGTCTGTAGTTGACTTTTAATGTCAAATAACAAATTGTCGGGGTTCAAGGGGGTTTAGGTAAGTACCTACATATTTGATTCTAAACATGCTACATCTGTTGGGAATCAAACCCACGACCAATGTTTTTTTTAACCAAACTTTCACGCTACATCATTCGACTAACAAATTCGTTCATTAGCCTAGGTTTAAACTTGTCTCAAAGAATAGAAAAGTGATTATGAACCGTTGCTTAATCTACATCTATAGTATTGTTTTTAATGAAGCACCATTTAACGGTTTAAAACGCGAAATGTATTAGTTAATTTATACAAATAAATAGTAAATACTATATTTTACAATATCGGTTAAAAAGTGTTTTATTTAAATGCTTACTGCTGCAGACAATACTTATAAAAATAGTTATTTCGTAAGGTTTTGTTCTAGATAGCAGAAAGTGCTTTTTAGTTAGTGCATATATACACTATGTATATATATGTAACCTTTGACTTTGGCTAAAACAACATCCGGTGTATAGTATAAGGTTATATTGTAAATTGTATAGTTTATTATGATATGCCCAATTAAAAGTCGTGCGTTCTCTAACACGTATCTTATCAAGAGAAGCAACGATAAATAAAGCATATTCGATATAATAATACCTACAATGTTTTACGTAATACTATATCTTACAATATCACTATGCATATAAAGCTAAATGTTCTGTTGACAAGTATTAACCTTGAATGTGTTTTAGCAGACGAAAACGCAAAAAAATCATGATTCACGGTGAACTGGAAGTATTTACAAATAAAAACTGAAGATAGTAAACAACAAAATTATCTGGCGTAAATTAAGATCTTATTATAGAGAAAGCCATTCCGGGTTGGCTATGAGTAATACCAACAGTATTAAGGATGTGGGACAACTTTCAGACGGCCACATGACTCAGCCCAGATGTATAAATACCGGAGACACGCCTCCTGGCTCGCCGAGCTAAAATAGTGCAGTGTCGTATAACATAAATAAAGCAACGTCTCGACTCGCGCATGGCGTTCATAACTCACCAATCATATTAGCCAGACTAAACAAATGACAATCAAGATTAAACCTCAAAAATTTTCCATGAAAAGCAATCAAAGCTTCTAGAATGTGCAACGACGGAATATACGCGAGATGGTATCACAAATATAGAAGCAGTCAAACAATCCATAACTGAAATGAGAACGACAATAAAGGTATCAGAATGTACAATCGTCGCGGTCAATCCTACTTCGATAAACCTTGTCTGGTCACGTTCTGCAAACCAGAAGCCGCAAACAGGTCTGCAACTGAATTAAATGGTCTGTACGTCCTTTTATTCTTTTCACTTTCACAAAACCCACAAACGTGCTCTTCAGCTGTTTTTCTGGATACGTATAAGATCGTAGAAACTGAATCACACCAGATATTGTCTAGTTCTATTTCATTTAAATAAAATTCCATATTGTAATGACACTTTACCCTGCGAAGACCATTTAAACAACACGTTCCTCTTAGCCTAAACTCATCTAACTTCAGTAAATTAGACACACAATTGTTGTAAATGACAAAACAAGCAAAGGAAATAAGCTTAATTACTAAGTTGCCAGTCCGAATCGCCCAGAGGCCCGGGGTCTTAAGTAGACCCTTACAAATGTTTCGATGAAGGAGACAATTAAGGAAATTTTCAGCGCCTCTCAGCAGGGCAAAGGACTCGAATAACTTTGGATATTGTGTTTATTCTTCATCTTAATATGTCCTCGAATATCAGCTTATCTGCGAGTGGAGTTAAATGGATGCGTCATAAGATTAGATTCTTATGCCCATTGTCCTTTATTTGAGGGGACTTTGAAAGAAGCGTTCAAAGGCGAGAATTTTGAATGGTGTGTTCATGACATGTTTAAAGGAGACCGGATGGAGCGAGATAAATCATTATGAATGACGAAAAGGACTATCCTTGTTCGTAAGCAGCTGACTTTGCGAATAGTTTTGCTATGAAACATCTGGTGTGGACAGGATGTTTTATGGAAGAAAAATCCAACACATACACTAAACTGTGTGTAACACGAAGATTCGACAACAATGTTCACCAATAGTATCTTAGTGAGGGTTTTATTCCAAAGCGTATCAGCGGATTGCGTCGCGTCCGCCAGAACAAACTTTGCTCTTTGAACTTGTAACTAAGTTAAGGCGAGCTGAGGGATTGTGGGGACCCTAATCAATATAGGACTTCGAATAAATGTTGTTTCTTTACTAAGTCATTTTTAATTTGTTTCCTGCTGATGGTCATATTACGTGCATTGAATATTGACTTTCCTTCCTAGTGAGGGAAGGAAAACACAGATGAGAAACGCTTGGAGGCTCAATGGTTCGTATCGTGATAACTTGTTCCGCGTTAAAATTCTGACCGGTTTTGAAGGACGGCCGTTCGATGACAATTCGAATGGAACTTGGAATACCTAAGGAGCTAAACAAAATATTATGGTCTCCTATTTATCTAGAATGAAGTAGTAAAAATGAATGTTTTGGTGACTACATTAGCACTAATACTTTAGCAGTCTATTTAGAAACTATAATTGCATTTATTCGTTTACACATGTGAAGATGTAAATTGTGTTGAGTCACATACCTAATGTAAGTATGTGTTAAGATGCAAATTATCACCGTTCATATTGTGATAATTAACAGTTTTTCTCGTATGCGACCTTTATAAATATTAATTTCAAAGCAATTAGCATTGAGTTTATGTTACAATCAAAAATTCCAGCAACGTTTGCCCACACCGATTTGCAATCACCGATCGCCTTGGTTTTTTATTAATGTCATTGTTTCTTGATTTCAATTAAAATCTCTGTAACAAGCAATCAATCAATAACGAGTTACTAAGCTATGTTCAGAGTTTCCTTTTATTATTTAAGCGCTTCTCTACCTGAAGACGGTCATTGTATAGCTAAGTACAAGAAGGTCGTTAGGTTGTGCATATTAGCGTACCCTTAATTCTAGGTTAATCAGAGGATAAACAATCACAATCTTACCATATGTACGACTAATATCCACTGAGCTATCTGCTTCAGCTTCGTCATCAGTTTCTTGTGAGATGGCATGTTTATAAATCCACAATTCCACTCTGGTCCGTTCCAACCGTTTCACTAGCGACACGCACACACTTACAACTACTATTTAGAACTACCACACTTTCACAAACTTGTTCCTTAACGAATAGTTAATAGTCCTCTATCGAGTCTTGTTTTTTGGCGTTTGGCAGTAGAAACCTGCGTTTGTACGCCTGGAATGGGTCGGTTGCCTCGACAAGTCCAACCGTACAGCGTAGACTGACAACACTTCTCAAACACTATACGCGAATGTGTAAAACGGTGACTCATCGGCCCCGCATACTGTTTACCGAGGCTTGAGTCATCGCGCGGTGGAAATAAACCGACAAGCACGCCAGCGCTAGCAAAGCGCCTTACCATAAACCGAACGCTAAACAATACACATTCTGTAAGCACTAAAGCGCTTTGTTACTCAATATCGACTCCATTAATACCTCGATTCCGCACGTGTCCCCTAAATAGCTATGCTATAATAAACTATATCTATATGGAATAGAAGCTATTTTTGTTTGTTAGAAAATAGCTAGGGAAACGAAACGTAAACTTTCGCGTTTAAAACCCGACTTGTTATGTTAGATTACGACGTCCGACTAGGTCGAATACCGCTTTGAGGTCGTTTGCGCACACTTAGAACAACTTTAAATTGAAGTATCTATATAATTAGCTCTTAGAGATAACAACGAGAATGACTAATCGAATCGAATGTGGCTTTTAATGGATTTAATTCGCATTTGATACATTTTAAAATTTATTACACATTTACGTCGTTTCCTCATCTTAAAATCAATTTGAACGTCTGTAACATATTCCTAAGTTGTAGCTAATTTAATTACCACTTGTCTGTTAGCAAACAAATGTATTTGTTATCTATGGAAATTTCGCAGGTGTACAATCAAGTTGCTTTTAAGACAATAATTACTAAAATTCCCCACTACGTAATATCTATAATCTATCTATCTCTAACAGGAATCATAATTATTCCAGTCGTCAACGACTCAAATCCATCAAGGTTACATCAATATTGTCCTAAAAATACAAGGTTAAAATACGCGACTTTTACGAAATTAATACGAAACAGTATAAGTCTCAAAATAGGCATGTACACATAGATACATCATACTGTTGTTAATATTAACATTTTAATAATTTGTTAATCGACATTTATTTGTCTTCGTTGCTTACATTATTTATTTCATCGTTTTTATAAATATGCAATTTGTTGGAGCTAGCTATCTTATTTAATAGATATTATAAAATTAAATATTAGATATACTGTTAGATTGTGAACATAAGTAAATAAAATATAATTAGCTAAGTTCGACTATATTTTTTAAACTCTACTGCCTATGGTTTATAGAACAAATAGCAAGCGAGTAACTGTTAAAAAATTGCTCCTAAGAAAACTCCATTTCAATAACGTCATCACCTCATCAATACTATAACCACGTCTCGGTGCATTCACCTCCAAACTTAGATCATCTCTTAAAAAAGCAGCGCCCACTATTTTTAAAAAATAACATTTGACCAGGCACTAAAACGAGTTTGAAGTTAAACGATGTTAAATTTAACTTTATTTAAAATCTTTACAATCATTAATTGAAATACAGACATGAATAAATGTTATCTATACTTATTACTTACTAATGTATAAAGTCTGTTTGTTTTAACGCACTAATCTCAGGAGCTACGGGTTCGAACTGAAAAATTTGTGCCGTTTAGGGAATTTATCGAGGAAGGTAATAGGAGCGAAGAAACAGCGGGAAATCTAGAAAAATCGAGGAAAATCATTCTTCTCTGTAGCTTTCAGATGTGTACGCTGCGAAAACGGTTCAAGATAGTCAAAAAATAGGTAAAGAATACCTCTTTAAATATTCTAAAAAATAATCCCCGACGTCTATCTTTTGAGATTAACTTGCAAGAACGACGGGACGACCGACGTCGTGAGTAAGAACTTAAGTTTATAAAAATAAAGGTACCCAGAATTACTAATGTTCGCGGACGAACTCGCTGGCGCATCTAGTTTTAAATGTATTTAAGAATTTTAGTGGATTATGACGTAAGATGTAAATTTACCCAACTTTTTACTATCATCAGTTTATTTTGAATCGATGTATCTTAAACTAATTGATTCCGAGACTTATCTAGTAAAAAATCTGAATAATTCTAGTAATACCCGGAAATTGGTAGATAATGACAGTCGTAATTATAAATAATTTCTTATATGGTATATATATTTTGTTCAGAAAAAATAGTCAATACAACTGAGTTACATGCCTAATAAAACTGATTTAAATTAAATATCATGTACGTCATTCTAGAATGAGTAAGTAAAACGTTCAAGGCCGGCTCAGGAGACTTCACAACGTAAGATAGGTCACGTCTTAAGCTTCTTTGAGACAACAGCACTTATAATGGGATTTTTATTTTTATACACTTCAAATATTTATAGTTTATACCTACATGTAGGCGAAAAATTTGTACACATTTCTTCATATAGCGATCTCAATGGGATGAAGTGGTATCTGTTTTTACTAAGAGGAATAATTTATCAACAAGCACTTAGATAGATCACAGTAATGTGTCATGGTGATATAGGGCTTAGGTATTTTACAATATTTCAGTATATTTAGTGTAGATATACAATTGAGCTACCGCGTCAAAGCTTGACGCGGTAGCTCAATTGCTTAAAGCACAGAACGCTGAGGATTTCGGCTTAAATCCCGCCTGTGTCGTAAAATTTTATGCAATAGATTTTTAATTTTATTTACATCTTTTTAATCAATCTTATTTATTGTATTGTAATTTTTTATATATTAATAAAACTGAACAAAATTAAGCAAAGTTATTGCGATAATCTTTATTTCTATACCACCAATTGTTGTTCTTGTTGACTACAGTCCGCATCCGAAACGTCCAAAAATTATGAATCTCATCCCATTCTTACCTAACGCAAAGTTAAGCAAAAAATGCACACAGCAAAAAATAAACAGATGTCGCTTTGTTTATGCTCTGTCAAGAGTCACTGGTCTCCCAAAATTCAAGGCATGAGTCACGTCCCTATCTGCAAGTCACATATGGGCTGAAACCATTCACGTGGATAATGAGTCATTTTTGTTACAGGTGTTCAAGCATACTCATATGTCGCATATCGATGTTGGGGGACGTAATCGTAATTTTATTGGGGTCGTTTACATTTTTATCTTGTACACAAGCGTTTCCTAATTACTCGTAATCAAACTTGAGTTATAATATATTTACGTATTTTTTTAATGCTTCTGTCGAACCAATTACCGCCTCCAGTGCTTCTTCCCAAGAACCGCGACACTTTTTAATTCCATGACTTCCATGTCTTTTAAATGCATCCTTCAGAGCCCTTTGTTCGATGATTCTTGTTGACTTTGCACCCAAACTTGTTTCGTTTAATAGGATATAGGCTGTTTTAATTGTAAAACTTAACTCTCTTTATTCTATAAGTGAAAACTTCCTTAAGCTTCACTCTACTTCTATACTTCTTATTACTAAATGGTTAATACTGTAAGCTGTTAAGTTTTCTAAATATTATTATATTGATAACTTGAATAATTTTATTTTTTATTTTAATAAAAATAAAATTATTCAAGTTTTAGACTTAGACCTTAAACATATTTATGTTATTAACTACCAACATTGTCTGTGGGTATATATGAAGATGCAGACATTTCACTATGTATTGGATAAATTACGAGAATATTCTACGTGTGGGCGTGTGTGTAACTTAAAGCAGTGCGTATGGAAACAATTCGTCATCTTTTTCTATCAATAAAATGAGGATTGTTTAATATTTAGTTACATTTATGCTGGTACACTATTTAAAAGAGGTAATAAAACTAGACGAGCGAAGTTTGATTTTTGTTTTCGGTTTTGGAAATATCATTCATAACTCGGTAGAGAAGATTATTAGCAGACTATTTAGGACCCGTAGTAGTTCGGGCCCACCACGCTGCTTCAATGTAGGCTCCAGCGTGGTGGACTTATGAGACGCAAATAGATTCAACATCAAATCCGATATAATAAATGACACTAATTGAATTACTGGTGAGCTTGTCTGTAAATAAAAGCTTTGACGTCAGCGAAAACAGCATTAGTTATAAAAATGACGCGTAAGCCACTCGTGACGCAGATGGGCATAACAATAACATGACAGGCTGCGAAGGGGTTTCCTTGAAAATGCCACGATGACCTAAGCCCAGTTTACACAAGTCATAAAAGTTGAAGTTTTTACGCGATGAATAAGTGAAGTTTGCTTCTGACCGTAGGTCGCTTGTTGCAGTAGACTTTTAGTAAAAACAAAAGGTAATTGCAAAAGGAAAAGAGATCTAAACAATCCGTCAAACAATATACGTCATTTTTATAGTGTCTATAGTTTACGCGAGTAGTACTACATTTAAATAAAACACTTAAACGGTTTAAAACGCGCTATATATTAGTAAAACTTTAACGTCAGAGACACCCTCCATCTTCAGTCTCCCCGTGACCACGGCAGCTGCAAAGTCGTATAGAAAATATGTAAAGGTTTTCTCAGCATTTAATATTCACGTTATATTTCGTCACTGGTTTTATTTACGATTCACATAATCGCTTTTGAATCATTCCTTTTACCGCAAAATGCGGACCCGACATATACAACACTAGACAAATACGAATTGTAAACGGAACGCAAAATATGTAAAATATGTTTGGTAATAAAAAGCTTTTTTATTTTTTTTATTTTATTTTATTTTTATTTTATAATCATTCCTTTAAATCCTTCTTGTAATTTCAATCAATATAGGATATTTTAAACGCTTTAATTTAAGTAAAATTTTAAAGAAGCTTTCCCTGTTCCCAAAAATTTGTAGTATTATTAAATTTGTATTGTTCATATAAATGCTATTTTACATGTTATAATTTCAATATTGACAAAAAGTACTTTCCAAGCATGACATCGTACATTATAAATTTACATTTACAAG